CTACCCCCCACTTAAAGGAGGGAATACCCGCTATATACCCAATCCCAGCGTGAACTTGCATCTATACCCGGAGGCCGTTCGACTTTGCATAGTACCCAGCTTTTTCCCTGTGCGAAATTGTAGGTGTACCCAGTCCTGCAGGCCCTCGGTTTCGGATCACAAAATTATGCTCGTGCCCACCAAGCGGACTGTTGTGGGGGGCCCAACGGCTAGTGGGTATGAACATAGTAATTCCAGCCATGGGTAGCAGGGTTTATGAATAATTTAGCCGGTCCACCTCAGGTCCTGGGTATGCCCATAATTTTGCGGGGGTATGTCCACAATTTATGCATTCCGGTAGTTGGTTATAACCGCAATTTCGCGGTAGTAACCTGGGTCCACCTCAGTCCAGGGCATGCAAACAATTTCCACCGGTCGTTGATACCCGGACTGGGCATGTCGGGGTATAGATGCAAGTTGGCACTGGGACTGGGCATAGCCGGTATTCCCATCTTTGAGTGGGGTACAGATGCGTTTTTCCCTTGATTGATTGATCGACTGACTGATTCGATTGATTGATCAATTGATTGAGTAATCGATTGATTGATTGCATGATCGAGTGATTGTGATATTGATGATTGATTGTGATATTGATTGATTGATTGATTGATTGATTGATGACATGGATAGATAGATTATTTGCGGTCAGCAGTACAACGCCGCTCCTTGGTCGACAAGTAGCCTTCGCGTATGTGCCACGTGTACTCTGATTAGTTGCATTCACAAGAGACGTTGGGTCCGATCGTGAAGCACAGGTATTTGCTGCAAGCCTGGGATGCTCCTTCCTCGCCACCTTCTCCTCCACTCCATCCCTATCCTTTTGCCACGTGGATGCCTATCGTTTGCTACGTGGATGTCTATCTTTTTGCTGTGTGGATGCGTATTTTTTTGCTACGTGGATGCCTGTCTTTTGCCACGTGGATGGATCCTCCATCCCTATTTTTTGCCACGTGGATGCCTATCTTTTAGCTACGTGGATTCCTATCTTTCTGCCACGTGGATTGATTTTTTCCAATCAAGCGATGCCAACGTGTCAACCTGGTAATAGTCTGATTCAGAGAAAAACGCTCGAACCAACCCACCAGGAGCCAACAAATCACTCTTTGCCGACGTGGATTGTTTATCTTTGAGCCACGTGGCTATTTCTCCAATCAGGCGAGGCCTTCCCACGTGGATCCTTTATCTTTTAGCCACGTGGCTTTCTCCAACCGTGCGCAGGCCAACCTGTCGATCTCATAGTCTGGTCTATGGGGTAACCGATGGTTAAAAAAAAAAAACGATCATTCCAATTCAGCAGGATCTTTTAGCCACGTGGCTTTCTCTAATCAGGGGAGGCCAAACTGTGAATCTCATACCATCTTCCCCCGAACACAACGCACCCTCATTTTGGCTGTACCTGCTTTATGTTCGGGGGAAGACGGTAGTCTGATCTATCTGGGTAACCGATGATTAAAAAAAAAAAAACACGATCTATCTAATCCACCAGGAGCCAACCAATCACTCTTTTCCCACGTGGATCCTTTATCCTTTAACCACTTGGCTTTCTCTAATCAGGCGATGCCAACCTGTCAATCTCATAGTCTGATCTATGGGGTAATCTACTAACCGATTATTAAAAAAAAAACGCTCAATCCAATCCAGCAGGAGCCAACAAATCACTCTTTTCTGACGTGGGTTCGTTATCTTTTAGCCACGTGGCTTTCTGCAATCAGGCGATGACAATCTGTCAATCTCATAGTCTGATCTATGGGGGGTAACCAATTACTTGATAATTCCAAAAGAACCGCTCAATCCAGCAACAGCCGACAAATTACTCTTTTCTCCCTTTTTTACCAGGGTTAAAAAAAAAAAAAAAAAAAAAAAACTGGCGCCGGTCTTAGCACCCCGTCCTGCATACACCCCGCCACCTGGATCCATGCCAATTAGTAAATCCCCCCCAATCCCCAATCCAGATGATTTTCCACCCCCTCCTGCATCCGCGATTGGTGCCAGATGGGGGTAAACTTGGTGCATGATCTTCCCTGTCCTGCGTGTGCGGCCACCTGGTGACCTGAACCAATCAATCAATCATTTAATCGATTGATCACTGAACCTAACTTCCTTGGCTATTCAACCCTATCCCGATCCCGATCCCGATCCACGTCCCGCTCCACCTCCACTCGTTCTTAAGTAAACGTTGATCAATCCCACTCGATATTAATCACCCAGTTTATCAACCTGGGTCAGCAACTCTGTGTGTGTGTGTGTGTGTGTGTGTGTGTGTGAGAGAGAGAGAGAGAGAGAGAGAGAGAGAGAGAGAGAGAGAGAGAGAGAGAGAGACTACTACTCTATTCACACACACTCAGAGAGAGAGAGAGAGAGAGAGAGAGAGAGAGAGAGAGAGAGAGAGAGAGAGAGAGAGNCCCCTCAAAAAAAACTCTACTACTCTATTCACACACACACACTCAGAGAGACACACACACACACACACACACACACACACACACACACACACACAGAGAGAGAGAGAGAGAGAGAGAGAGAGAGAGAGAGAGAGAGAGAGAGAGAATATGGCGCCCTCTGCGCTATCTAACCCACAACCCCCTAACGATCGCTGCTGATGTGGCGCTAAGTCAAACACAAAAACAGAAAAGATCAGGCCCATTTCTTTGTTCTGTTGGTTTTCCCGTCCCCAATTCCTTGGCTCCATACCTATTTGTGGTGGACCCACCAGGTGTGGTGCTCCACCTGGGATACAGTTGGAGATGGAGGAAGAAGGGGGAGCGAGATGGCACAACGCAGCTCCATCTCGCTCCCTTGCTAGACTCCAACGCACGCACTCCAAAGTTTGTGAGTGTAGAATGATCTCACAAACAGACAACAGTTGGGGTATACCCCAGCGGACTGACTGGACCGGACTGGACTGGTTGGTACCGACAAAGGTACCAGCCTGGACTGGACTACCCCGAATACAACACAGGCCTGTGAGAACAGGCCAAGGGGCTGGTCGCACAGGCCAACCAGAGGTCCGCTACACGATCCTCGGCCTGTGATGGATCACCTAGATACAAGCACGCTTCCGCCAAGAAGTGGAACTCTACTAAAGAAAAAGAAAACCTGAGTAGTCTAGGATGCGGAGCAAGCTCCATGCTGAGTCCATGCGATGCAACCTAGGATAGAAAATGTCACAAAGACAACAATGTCACAGCTAACAGCCTAAGTGAAAGCAGAAGCAACTAACTAGCTTACATGTCCTAGGAAAGCAGAAAACAATGGCAACTAAATCTTAGAATGTTGGAGGCAGTAGCTTCAGTCTGGAAACAACTGACTAGTGTATAAGTCCTAAGAACAGCAAAAGCAGAACAACTAAATCCTAGAATGTCAGAGGCAGTAGCCTCAGTCTGAGAGCAACAAAGCAACAACAAGACAACCATATGTCACAGGAGAAGTGTGTCACAAACCAAAGGGTGGGATGGTCTCTGAGGGTGGCGAATGCAGCCTAGGGGTCGATAAACTCCTAAGGGCATCCACACATAAATGACAGGGAGACATATGTCATCAGGCTCAATGAGGGTAGGGAACTGGGAGCGAACAAAACCAATGACCCTAACAGATAGACCATCAGGGCGGGTAATGCTCGATTAAAGGGGTGACTGCTATGGAGGGTGGACCATGCAAGGGAACAAGGGAGCCTGGTATACTGGGTGCATCTAGATGAAGCATGCAAGGCTGCCTAACTAGGGCGTGAGGGTCGGCAGAGGGTAGAAAAGTGATGGGTAAGGGAATCATGCAAATGACTCCTAAGGTGAGGGAAGTCTGAGCTAAATCCGTAAGCTGGGAAGCCAGGGCAATGCTGCGGTGCCGATGCCTATGCGTATACCAAGGGAGAGCCCAACTCAGAGGAACATGGGGAAGGGAGACGATCATGCGATACAACCAGGGTACTGTACAAGGTAAAGTGGTAAGAGAGTGATGACGTTTGAAGTAGGCAGAGTTGATCGTGACGAAGTCCATGAAGCTGCCGATGACATCCATGATGAGAAGTTTGGAATGCCGTCGAGGAAGAGCCGCAACGTCGACGAGCTGAAGTAAAAAAACTGAAGTGGATGGAGTACTGAGAAGTCAAAGACGTGGGAAGATAAGTCAGAGTCAATCATCGTATCGAGCAGGATGACGACGAGTGCGCTGTGGACGCTTAGAAACATCCGGTTGCTGTTGAAGGTTTGCCTGAGATGGAGCAAGCTCGACTTCAGCGGTCTCCTCAGCCGAGGGAGAAGGAGGGTCAGTGGGCTGAGGAGGAGCAGTTAATCCAGCATGACGAGCATGGTCATAGGCACGCACCAATATGCAAGCGTGCTGCAAGTGCTCGAGGGGCTCCCAAGTAGCCTCATCATCAAGGTAACCCCTCCAACGTACGACATACTCAACGTGAGGAGGGTTGTCGTTGGTAACTCGGCGACCAATGATGTCTGAAACGAGAAACTCCTCGTGGCCGTCCACCATGATAGGTGGAGGGCGCTCATATGGTCGTCCAGCGAAACACTCAAACGGCCTGCGGTAGGGACGCAGTAACGAGAGGTGGTAGACATCGTGCACACGAGCCTGGAGTAGGTAGTCGGGTAGCTTCACACGAAAGTTGACCGGGCTAGAAGCCGTATCAGAACCGACGGCCTGGAGAATGTGGCATGGGCCAAAGAAGCGACGCCGAAACTTGCGAAGCGTGTTTGCTTCGACCTGTAAGTGGCGGGCGTCGATAAGCACATAATCACTGACTTTGAATGGATGATCCATCCTCGATCAGTTCGCACGTGCTGCCATGGGAGTCTGGGAAGCGGCTATGTGCTCATGTGCGGTCTTCATGATCGACGTCATGTGTGCAACCCAATCATCCAGCGTGGGACAACTCGTGTCGGGGTGCATCTATGATGGTCGAAGGAAGTCCATGGGAACACGAGGGTGATAGCCGAGGTCGCAATAGTAAGGCGACATCCCCGTGGCTGGCGAGACGGTGTGGTTGTAGGCTATCTCCGCGTGGGCAAGATGGAGATCCCACTGCTGGTCGCCACGAACAATCTTTCGGAGAATATCTCCGAGAGTCCTGTTCGTGACCTCGGTCTGACCATCAGTCTGGGGATGGTAAGACGAGGAGAAGCGAAGCTGGGTGCCGTATACCTCGTGGAGCCGTCGCCAGAATCGGCTGGTAAAGTGCGGGTCACGGTCAGATATGATGCTTAGAGGCAAGCCGTGGTCACGCACGACTCGGTCAAACACGATGTCGGCGACCTCACGTACACTAATGACACAGCGGCACGGAACAAAGCGTGCACGCTTTGTGAAGCGGTTGACGACGGCCACGATAGCATCATGACCGTGGGGGGTCAGAGGGCGAAGAGGAACGATAAAGTCCATTGAGATGGACTGCCAACGACCCTCAAGAATAGGAAGAGGCAGGAGCGAACCATAAGGCAGGTGGTTTGCAACTTTGCACTGTTCACCTCTTGACAGGTGGGACACTCTGCAACGTAGTCCTTCACAAAGTCCTTGCGCTTCGGCCAGACATACAGGCGGCTCACACGAGCCAACGTCTTGTGGAAGCCCATATGACCGGCGACTGCCTGGTCATGGAACTCTGCTACTGCCCGGACACGTAGCTGTCCAGTGGAGGGAACGCAAATACGGGGCTCTCTGGTGCCCTGTGAACCGTGCCAGTACACAAGACCGTTGTCCCTGAGAGAGTAGTTCGAGACGGTTTTGCCACTCCGAAGAGTCGCATGGATGTCGCGATAGTCGAGGCAGTGGCGATACTGAGTGCGAAACTCGTCGATCACCGAGTGGTGGACGGTGGTGATCGAGATGGCAGCAAGCTGGATTTGCTCCAGATCATGGTGAGGGTGCCGGAAAAGGCCTCTGCGACCCGATTAGTTTCACCCTTGATGTGCTCAGTGGTGAAACTAAACTCGGATAGGTCGCGCCACCAGCGGACCTATCAAGGAGTGAGCTTCGGCTTTGTCAGAAAAGCCTGGACAACAGAGTTGTCCGTGCGCACTGTGAATGGTGTCCCGTGCAGGTGACGCCAGTGCCGAGCGGCATAAACTACTGCGATAACCTCACATTCATCAGCAGTGTAGTTTATCTCGGCGGGTAGGAGCTGACGGGAGTAGAAGGCTATCGGATAATCACCTGAGCGAGACTCGACAGTACCGTTCTCGGCGATGGTAGGCGAATAGTCAATAGAAGGCTCGTCAGTAGCTGCACGAGTAGGCGTCAGGCGGGAAGCAGTGGTAGGGGTAGGGGGTGGGAAGCGAGGGATGCGAGGATGAGAGGAATCAGGAGAGGAGGGGAAAATCTAAGAAAGCACTGCTCCTACAACAAAGTCTGACGCATCGATGGTAAGGATAAAAGAGCGATCAAAATTGGGTAGGTGAAGAACCGGTGCACATGTCACCGCCTTCTTGAGGGCGCAGAAGGCGTCCTCGTGGAGGGGTGTCTAAGCCCATGGCGGGTTTTTCCGGAGGAGGGTGGAGGTAAGGACGTAGGAATACCTAGCGTATCCCTGGATGAAATTACTATAATAGCTAGTGAGGCCTAGGAAGCTGCGAAGCTGCTTGGCGGATGTGGGGACGGGGCCATTCCGCAATAGCAGTGAGACCCTAGTCAGAGACGTAGTGTCCTAAGAAATCCACTTTGTGCTGGGCAAAGCGGCACTTGCTCAGCTTGGCGTAAAAGCCATGTCTGCGCAAGCGGTCAAGGACGTCGCAGAGATGTCTGAGATGCTCCTCAAGGGTACGACTGTGGACCACGATATCGTCGAGGTAGACTAGAACGTACTGCTCCAGGATGTCCTTGAAGATGTCGTTCATCGCCCTCTGAAAGGTAGCGGATGCGTTTGGTGAGGCCGAATGACATCACCGTAAACTTATAGTGGTCGAAGCGCGGTCGGAACACTGTCTTCTGCTGGTCCGCTGCAGCGACGCGGATCTGGCGGTAACCGCTACGAAGATCAATCTTCGTAAAGAAGCGGTTGCCTGCTAGGCGGTCGAACAACTCGTCGGAACGAGGCATGAGGTAGCTGTTCTTAACCGTGTAGCGGTTGAGACCGTGATAGTCGGTACAGAGACGGAGAGTTCCATCCGCTTTGCGAGCAAAGAGGACGGGTGCACCCCACGGGGAGTTGCTGGGTTTAATGAAACCCAGTCTCAGGAGCTCCTCAAGCTGACGCTTGAGTTCGGTGGCCTTGGGGATCGAGAGTCTGTAGGGTGCCTTGTGGTGAACACGATAGTCATGCACAAGCTGGATGAAGTGCTCAACGTCGCGCATCGGTGGGATGCCGGCGTACGAGAACGATGGTGGGAAAACGTCGTGGTACTCTCGAATGAGGTCACGAACTGCGGGCTCCAGGTCGGTCGTATAGCATGCGAGTTCCTCAGCGTCAGCGTCGACGCGCGCGACGACGGGGTGGACTCGACGGACGGCGGAGGGTGGGAAGTAGAGATGGGAACTATGGAGATAGGAGGATCTGGCTCCAGAGGGATGAGCTCGGCGTCGGGACAGGGTGGATCATAGTGTAAGAGATCCGTAACGTTCACCGTAAAGAAGGTGACGTCGTCCTGTCGGATGAAGTGAGCGAACTGCCGAGGCGAGGTGATAGTGATTGTAGGAGATGGTGTGGCCACGGAAGGCTCCGGGGGAGGAAGATTGGGGCGTGGTGTGGCGGTGGTACCTATGAAAGGTACGCGATACGTCTGTCCACACTTCGTTTTGAGAACGAGAGTTGGTCGCCCAATTGGCCTCGGTGCTGCAGAACCGACGAGACCACAGAGTACCGAGAATGAAATCGTACCCCGTCTCCATCACATCGAAATGTGCAGAGAAGCGGTGGCGACGAGACGTCGGGGGACGATCAGTCTGCTCGAGAGTGAGGAAGAAGGGAAGGTCAATGACCGTCTGATCGAAGAAGCGCTGACTCTTGTCATCCCTTAGGGTGACGGAGATGGGAGTCAGAGACCCTGTCGTGGGTAAGCGGGCTTCTTTCACCACACGTGGGTGAATGAAGTCGCCCTGAGAACCGAAATCCCACAACGCTGAGTACACCCTCATGGAGGTCCCCAGTCGTACTGGAATGATCGGGAGGGTGCGATCAGGGTCAAAAAGGATGGTGAGAAGGCGACGCAGTGCAGCGACATGGAGGGCGAGTCGCTCTTGACGAGCCTGGAGCATGCTCAAGTCCAGAAGAGAGGACATAACGGCCTTGCGAGTCACAAGTTGCTCGCTGCAACGGGTTGAGCGAATGGCTCGACGCGTCGAGAGTCGCGGAGGTGTAGGAGGGGAGACGGTGGTCTGCGGAGGCGTAAATGGTATTGCGACAGAGGGCTGAGTACACTCTGTCGGGTCCTGGGATACCCCAGCTTCAGTAGCGAGAGGGGCGAACCGCGACGGAGATGTCGGGAAGGCCACTACTGAGGAGGGCGCAGGTGTATACAACACCGTGGCTAGGAGGCGCCGCGGGGATGCGAGGCGCCGGGGCGGGACTGAGCACGACACTGGCGGGAAAGGTCAGTGTAGTGGCGGTCGAGGGCGGCGGTGTAAGGGCACCGCGAGGAGGTATGACCGTCTTGGCGGCAACGCAAACACCCACGCCGACCCAAAATGGCCGCGCGCTCAACGGAGAGGACACCGCGAGGAGGGACAAAGCCCTGAGGGAGGTCCTGTTGAGGGACCTCGGGGGGCGACGCGTCAGCGTGACTAGAGCGGCTGCGTGCCTGGGAGAGGGTGGAGAGGATGAGTTGGAGGCGCTCGACCATAGAGAGAGTAGAGTCCTCCAGGTGGTAGTGGACGATCTTTTCGAGGTCGAGGTCGTCGCTATGGTCACCCTCAGGCGACAACGGGGCAACGTTCTGCTCACCATACTCGAGCAAGATGAAGCGGTGCGAGAAGTGGCGGCCCTGCTCCGCGGAACGGCGGGGGCGGCCGCGGAAGGGGGAACGACGCTGGGATGTGCCATGAGAGGAGGAGGGGGCGTAGCCAGTACGCTGAGGCTGGGAGGAGGAAGCAGGGTGAAGACGGGCCCGCATCTGCTGATGGGTCCTGGCGGCCTCATAGGCCTGCGGGGCCGATGTGAACTCGTACCGCCATAACTCAGAGCGATACTCAAGGGGAAGGCTAGCCAAGAAACGGTCGGTAAGGGAAGCCTCGGGGAGGAACGCCACATCACAAATGAGGCGGGCGTCCTGAAAGACCTGGATCTGGTGGTCCAGGCCGATAGCGCCACCACAGCTGGACCAGCGTGTGCCGACGAGACGCTCGAAAGCGTCAGTGACGTCATGTCGGGCTCCGAAGTGGTCCTCGAGGAACGCCTGAAAATCCATGAAGGTCGGGGTCCGACCCTCACGAATGGAGTGCACGTAGAAATCCTCCCAAGCGTCGAAAGGACCGCCACGCAGGCGCGTGGAGAGGTGACCCACCCACATGTCAGGTGGGGCGCCCATGAGCCGGAGCGTGCGGGTGGCAGACTGCAGCCACCGAGACACGCTCATCCCTGTACTGTCGTACAAGGCAATGTCCGCCAAGCAGACGAGTGGTGCGCCACCGTTTTGGCGGCGAGGGGATCGAGGAGTAGAGGCCTATGCTATAGAGGAGTAAGTCGGCGGAGGTCCTGGGGAAAGGGGCGCAGTTGACTGTACGCCCGGGCCGCATGGGGGAGCGGTGGGGGCAACCGAGGCAGACTGCGAGGGAGCTCCGATAGAAGAGGTCGCATCAACCGAGGGAATAGGAAGAAGGTAGGATGGGGATGGATAGGGTGCAGGGCAAGGGAAGCGAGCCTGCATGGAAGGAAGAGTAGAGGGAGGGGGTGCGCCCGAACGCCCGGCCACCTGTGAGGGTGGGGGTGGCTGAAGGCGTAAGAGGGCGAGGTCGGTCCGGGTCTGGGCAAGCTCGTCCTCGAGATGTCAAACGTAGATCGAGCGAGGAGTGACAGGAGGAAGAGTGGGGGAAGTGGAAGCACGAGCGGCGTGGGGCATCCCACAGGGGGGGAGCCAAGTGGCGCTGCAGTCATGCGAAGGGGAGGGAGAATCAGGGCACCCGGAAAAGCTGAGACCATGGCAGCGGGTTGTGGTCCGTGGCCGTAGCGATCGGAATCTCGGCGTATGCGCCCGTAGAGTGGGGGAGGGCCTGGCTCGTGGCGGCTGTCGAGCTAGGGGCGTGGACGGTCACCAAGATGGCCGAGTCGGAGGCAATGAAGGAGGAAGCTCCACCATGCCCACCCCGTCGGAGGACTTGGGACCCAGACTGGGAGCCATGAGAAGAGAGAGAGTCAAGAGATGAAGGAGAGGCAGCGTCCTGGAGTTGCCGCATGCCGACGACAAGGGTCGCCACTTGCGCTTGTAAGGGCGCAAGGGTCGCTAGTTGCGCCTGGATGGGCGCGAGGAGGGTGTGCAATTCCCCCTGGGGCTGATGGCCCTGGTCCGCCGGCACGGGTGTGGAGCCCAGTGCCGAGGTCATCGCCGCATCGGCGGCTTGTGACACGCCGTTGGCCATAGGGAGGGACGGGCCGGACCGGAAGGGGCCAGAGGAGGTCCGCGTGAGCGAAGGTCGTAGGGGGGGGTCTGTGGTAGAAAGCGGCGGACGACGCTAGTGAGTCTAGTGCGGGCGCCGTCAAAGGGGGAGGGGTGGTTCGGGTCCAGGGTGAATGGGAAGGGAAGTAGGGGGGGTTAGGGAAAACCCTAAACCATAGAAAAACCCTAAGAAAACCCTAACCGGAGTTTGAGTGGTTAGGGTAGGGTACTGATGACCTAATCAAGAAAATAAAATAACAAGCATGGGGGGGGAGGCGGGAGGAAAATAAATAAACAGTTACATTTTGAGAAAAAAATAAAAATAAATAAGGAAATAAATAAATAATAAAAATAATTAAAAAAATAAGGAAAAAAAATGTGAGGAGAAATAATATTTATTTTTTTGGAATTTTCGGCAGCATTTCCCGACCCCCCATAGGGTCAAGAATGTGCCAAGGGAAAGAAGAGACCAAGATAAGCAAACTAAATTTCAAAGTGTCGCAAATTAAAAATTTTAGAAAATAAGTAAAGAAATAATAAATAAAAAAATAGAGAAATAAATAAATAAATAAGTAGATGAGGAGGTGAAGAGAAATTAAGTGTAGGATTTTTCAAAAATTTCGGCAGCATTTCGTTACCCCCATGGGGTCGAAGTGTGCCGTCAAGAAGAAAGGCTAAGTAAAATGAGAAGATTTTGCCAGCACTTCGCTACCCCCAAGGGGTCAAAATGTGCTGAAAAAGGGTAAGTGAAAGAGAAACAGAAAATTTCGGCAGCACTTCGTTAACCCTACGGGGTCGGAATGTGTGCCGAAAGCAAGAATGACTAACTCCTATTCAGATTTAAGGGTGCTACAAAGAAATTCGAATTTTCACAATAAAATAAAAATAAAATGAAAGAAATCAGAAAATGAGAAAAGAGGATGGGGAATAAGATAATTCGAATTTTTGGAAAAAAGGAGGAAATATAAATCAAAAGAAAGATAAAAAGAAGAAAAAACAGAAAATTTCGAAGTTGGGGGAAAGGGGAATGAAAAGGTGAAGGAGAAAGGGGAGAAATAGGTGAGAAAGAGAAAAAGAGTGAAAGGGGAGATGGGGGGAAGTGATGGGTTGTAGTTGGGGGAGAGGAGGGTGAGAGAATGGGAGAGAAAGGGATGGGAAGGGTGGGGAGGGATCAAGAACCAAAGAGAAAAGAGGAGCTAGAAAAAAAAATAAATGAATAGAGTAAAATAGTGGTTAGTGGGAGAAAAGGTGTGGTGGGGAGAGGGGTATGAGTGGTGAGAGTGATTAGAAGGAAGTGAGTGAGGTAGAAGAGGAAGAAGTAGAGGGGGTGACTAAGAGGAGAGAGAAAAGGTAGAGAAAGTGGGTTAGTAGGGAGAGGGAAGAGAGTGGGATGATACCTGCCCTTGGTGTCTCCAAGGGCACAAGGTATACTAAGACAAGGAGGGTCTTGGCCTTCACTGCAGCAAGCCAGCTGGAGGAGAGAGGGGGGCTGAGATCTTGATCAGCCCCTAGCAACAGTACTGCAGATCTGCAGATCCAGGGTATGTTGTGTGAGCATACCCTCACCAGTGTAGAGCAGCTCCCTGAGCAGGGGGGTCTTCACTGACTCTTCAGTTCCACAGCAAGCTGCCACGTGGCACTGCAGATGGGCACATGCGCAGGCACCAGCAGCCACGGGTGGGGGGAGGGGGGGGCAAATAGCAGCCCGGCCATTGCTGCCCTGCTGGCCGCTGCTCGGCGGGGGGGTAAATAGCTAGCATGCACGTCTTCAACAGCAGCGTGCCACACTCCTGAGCCATGCAGACACTTTGGCCAGTGTGTTAAGGCAGCAGCTACGCACGCGCATAGCCAGCAGCTGCCCGGATTCAAACCCTGGCAGCAACATATATCCCAGATCTTGATAATATATCCGGGTGCGGGGCGGGGCAGCGGGGCCGCGTGGCGCGTGCATGTGCGGCGGCCTTGGCCTTGGCTCACACGTTCGTGATGGCGACTCCTTTTTTCGCCACGCTGTCGGGTTTTGCTGTTTTCCGTACTGTGCGGGGTGGTGGGTGGGAGCGGGGAACGTTCCTGCTCCGATACCAGTGTGGCAGACCCACCAGGTGTGGTGCTCCGCCTGGGATACAGATGGAGATGGAGGAAGAAGGGGGAGCGAGATGGCACAACGCAGCTCCCACGCTAGACTCCAACGCACGTACTCCAAAGTGTGCGAGTGTAGAATGATCTCACAAACAGACAACAGCTGGGGTATACCCCAGCGGACTGACTGGACCGGACTGGACTGGCTGGTACCGACAGAGGTACCGGCCTGAACTGGACTACCCCGAATACAACACAGGCCTGTGAGAACAGGCCAAGGGGCTGGTCTCACAGGCCAACCAGAGGTCCGCTACACTATTGCACCGTGCCCCACTAGAGTCTTGTGCTCTATTGGAGAACCCTCTTTTCTGGCAATATGGTCAATAGCATCGATGATTCCCCCACTGGCAGATCGTCGCTCTCTGACCATATGACCAATAACACCTTTGATTTGATTTTCCCATTCAGCGATCGATCGTTGAGAGCAAGATCGCTCTCGGACAATGTGGTGTGGTTCGTAAGAGAACGACCGTTCAAAAAAAACAACAGCTGAGTCAGCAACTGGTAGCAAGGTAATGAGCATCAATGACCTTTTTTCTTTCCCGTTACTTGGGCAGGGGCCATGCTAATCTTCTCTGTATCGTTCCAATGTTAACGGATGTGCTCTAGAGGATAGGATCAATGATATCCCCAGTGGCAGATCGCAGAAAGCACCTTGCATAGCGGCAGAAAGCTTGCTTTCTTATCTTCCCCCGCAGAGCCGGCAAATTTATTCTCCTTCGTCCCCATAGGTAGAAGGCTTTCTTTCCTTTCTATCCCAGTTCCAGATGAAAACTTTCTTTTCTATCTTAGCTTCAGATGCTCCTCTCTCTTCCTCCTCTGCTCTGTGGGTGGTAAGCCCACCCCTCCTTTTCACAACCCCCCCCCT